AGATCCCACATCCTGGCTTCTACGAACAGAAAGATACTTTGATTACCACGAAACGCAGGGACCGAATCGTGTCCCATTAGCTTCCGCACACCTAGAAGGAGAGGCGATCGTCTGGTACCAGTGGTACCGGCGACGGCACCCAAGAGCCACATGGGTGGACTTCACCGATGCCTTAACCATGAGATTTGGAGTCTCGGCCTTTGAAAACTATGATGAAAGCCTCGCTAAGCTACGACAGACCGGCTCCGTCCAAGATTATTAGATGGCGTTCGAAAGGTTAGCAGTGCGCATGCAAGGGTGGCCAGAAAACACACTTGTCAGCAGTTTTGTTGGTGGACTTAGGGAAGAATTGCGGCTGGAGGTGAAAGCCATGCAGCCCACCACGTTCTTGATGCAGCAGCCTTAGCTTGACTCCATGAAGACAAACTGAATCGGGCAAGAAAGATTAATCGACCTTTGGGAGCTGCGGTCAGACCAGGTATCTTGGGTAAACCGGAGTCCAGACCAGAAGAAGGAATCACAGGCAAGGACGCCAACTCTGGTTCAGGCCCCGGCTCAGCCAAGAGGTTAACCTGGGCTGAGATGCAAGCCCGACGGGAAAAGGGCCTTTGTTATGCATGTGGAGACAAATTCGGACCGGGCCATCGCTGTAAGATCCCGCAAGTTTTCTTCCTTCAACCCGAAACCGAAAACGTCGAGCAATCAGCAGACATTGAAGAGCCAGTGAACAACCAAGAATGGGGGCAATGGACAAAGGAATACCCGGAAGTATCCCTGCAAGCCTTGACCGGCCTTGCTTCCTCTCAAACTATGAGAGTAACCGGACTGGTACAAGGGCGACATGTGTCGGTTCTAATAGACAATGGAAGCACTCTCAATTTCATTACGCAAACATTGGTCAGACAACTAGGGATTCCGGTCCAACCATGTACAGCATTCCAGGTGCACGTAGCTAATGGGAGCAACCTAGTGTGCAACAGTACATGCATGGGATTAAAGATGAAGATACAAGGACACGAGTTCGAGGTAGATCTACATCCCCTGGAAATCAGTGGAGCAGATGTAGTTCTCGGAATCCAATGGTTAAGGCAACTAGGGCCGGTGATATGTGACTGGGCCCGTCCCACCATGGATTTTCAAGTGGGCAGCTCACAGGTGAATATTCAAGGACAGTTGTCCAAGGGCCCAGGACCCATTAGTCTTGCCACCCTAAGAAAACAAGCAGCAGACCCAGCCCACATCATTTTAATGCAGATAGACTCCCACGAGAACGGCCCAATTCTAGCCCAAGGAAGTAACTCCAGCAGATCCGAAGAAGCTAGCATACAACTACAGCAGCTACTTCTGAATTTTCCAGTGATCTTCCAAGAGCCTAAGGAACTACCACCGAAACGTGCCCATGATCATTGCATTCCATTGTTGCCCGGAACGGCACCCACAAATGTAAGGCCCTATCGTTACCCCTATTTTCAGAAACTAGAGATTGAGAGAAAAGTGCAAGATATGCTTGATAGAAAAATTATACAACCCAGCCAAAGCCCATTCTCCTCGCCGGTATTACTTGTGAAAAAGAAGGATGGGACATGGCGGTTTTGTATAGACTATAGGGCCTTGAACAACATTACTGTGAAGGATCGATTTCCCATACCGGTAATCGATGAACTCGACAGGGCCACCATATTCTCTAAACTAGACCTGAGATCAGGATATCATCAAATTCGGGTCCATGAGGGTGACATCCACAATACTGCCTTTCGTACACACGAGGGGCATTATGAGTTTTTGGTCATGCCGTTTGGGTTGACCAATGCGCCAGCTACATCCCAAGCACTTATGAATGACATATTTCGACCCCATTTGCGCAAATTTATACTCGTTTTTTTTATGATATACCTGTATATAGCGCTACATGGGACGAACACCTAGTACATCTACAAATCACCTTGGAACTACTAAGGACTCATAAACTCTTTGCAAAGGAGTGAAAGTGCGCATTTGGGCAGACGCAAGTACACTACTTAGGACACGTAGTCGAAAACGGCATTGTAGCAGCAGACCCAGAAAAGATCTCAAGCATGATAAATTGGCCCCAACCTCAAAATGTTAAGGAGTTACGGGGCTTCTTAGGTCTAACAGGGTACAACCGGCGATTCATTAGAGGATATGGACTGATTGCTACCCCCTTGACAAGTTTACTTAAGAAGAATGGTTTTTGTTGGACTAGGGAGGCCCAACAGGCCTTCAAGACGCTCAAAACAACTGTCTCGTCCCCACCAACGCTCGCACTTCCAGACTTCTCAAAGGACTTCATCATTGAATCTGATGCGTCAAGCCAAGGAGTAGGTGTGCTCCTCATGCAAGAAGAAAGGCCACTAGCGTTTTTCTTTTTTTTTATCAATAACACTTTCATTAAATCATCAGTAGAAAATTTACAGGAGGAAGACAAACACACTTATCTCCCTGAGTTGGTTGGGAAGTACTTCTGTCCTTTGGTCACCCTAGTGATCTTTCCACTCTACCCCTAGTTCACCCCTTGATGGTGTGTTCCTGCTCTGCTTCCGGTTCTCCCAGTCTGCCCCTTCTGATACTCCTTGCACACTCTATGGTTTTGGGAGTGAGTTGAACCGCTTACAATCGCCACTAGCGTTTTTCAGCAAAGCAATGACAGCACAGAAATGGGCCAAGTCAATATACGAACGCGAACTGATAGCAATTGTTCTCGCAGTTCAGAGGTGCTGGCCCTACCTTCTAGGGAGGAGGTTCATCATACAAACTGACCACCATAGCCTGAAATTTCTGTTGGAGCAGTCCGTACTATCCCCAGAACAGCAACGATGGATAGCCAAATTACTCGGCTACGATTATGTCATTAAATACAAGGCAGGGCACACTAACAAGGTGGTGGATGCACTGTCACGCCAACCACAACTATTTCCATTACTTCTCATGGGCCCAACATGCTCCATCATGAGTCAGTTAAGGGAAGAAGCTAAAAGACACCCACAACTAAACAAGCTGCGTTCACAGGTCCAAGAGGACCCTACTAGCCACCCAGGGTACACAGTGAAGAATAACTTGTTGTTGCATAAACGCTGAATGGTGATACCACAGGATTCAGCCCATATACAGCAGCTTCTGGAAGTGTTCCACTCATCACCAGCAGGAGGACACCCAGGGATTTTGCGCACTTACAAGAGACTAGCCACCTAATTCCACTGGAAAGGTATGCGGAATTCAGTCCAAAAATTCATAGCCGAATGCGTCATTTGCCAGAAAAATAAGGCTGATACCCAGTCTCCAGCAGGACTGCTACAACCACTCCCAATTCCAACACAAGTGTGGGCAGATATATCCATGGACTTCATAACGGGGCTTCCCCTTTCCTGTGGCAAGTTCGTCAGTCTCATAGTGGTTGATAGATTCACCAAATACTGCCATTTTCTCCCTCTTTCCCACCCCTTTACAGCTTCAATGGTGGCTGAGATTTTTACTAAGGAAGTGGCACGACTGCATGGTACCCCTAACTCTGTTGTCTCAGACCGCAACCCAATTTTTATGAGTCATTTCTGGGCAGAACTTTTTCAACTACAGGAAGTGAAACTCTTCAAATTCTACCAGCTACCATCCTCAAACAAATGGGAAAACTGAGGTGGTCAACCGGAATTTGGAAACCTATCTAAGGTGCTATGCAGGGGATAGGCCACGTCAGTGGCTCAAGTGGCTTCATTGGGCGGAATGGTGGTACAATACCACGTATCACAGTGCAGCAGGAATGACTCCCTTTCGGGCTCTATATGGACGGGACCCACCTCCCCTACTCCCATATGAGAAAGGGTCTACAGCAGTGGAAGACCAACTCCTCCAGCGAGATAGGGTGTTACAAGATCTCAAATCCCACCTCCATCAAGCCCAACAATGGATGGCAGACTCTTATAACAGAAAGCATAGGCCGGTCCAGCACCAGATTGGAGAGCAAGTCTTCCTTAAACTACAACCATACAAGCAAGTTTCAATAGCAAGCCACAGGTGGAACAAACTAAGCCCAAGGTACTTCGGCCCATTTCGGATTGTGGAACGCATTGGGTCTGTGGCATACAGGCTTGACCTTCTAGCAACATCAAAATTGCACCATGTATTCCATGTATCTCTATTAAAGAAATGGCCAAAAACAGGAGCAATGACAACAACCACCCTCCCATCA